CCAGTCCCAGGCACTTAGTAGGCACTCAATGAATACCTGACTGACGATGTCACATGTGGGAGACTGGCTTAAGTGTTGCTGGCTCTCCCTTGGCTTCTAAGGGATCTGTCCAGTATTCACAGCTGGAATACAATCCCGAGCCACTGACTGCATTAGAGATGAAAAAGTCTGATCATGGCTCGGACTCCTGATTCCAGCTCAGATGGATAGATGTCCATCTTCTCTTAAAAGACATCAAAGAAAAGATGGTCTGTAACATCTCAGTGCTCATTTTTAACTGCTCTTTCACTCAGGGAGGTTTCTTATATCTCTGGAGATGGTGTAATACGTGGAAAGAAATATATGAGCTCTGAGGTCAGAATGTCTCAGGTCCAAACCCCACTTTTGCCTGTTACCAGTGGTGTGACCTTGGGCAAGCCACTTGACTTCCACTCATATATAAAATGAGACAAACCAGGAAATGTGCTCAGAGGTCTTGGTACAGAGCAGACAGTCACTATATCATGGGTGACATCCTTTGCCTGAGCTCTAACTCGCCCCCTGCATAGCACGCCTGCGAGGAAGGATTCTGCATGGCACATTTTCAAAAAGCTTCGCTCCCACCGCAGCAGGAGGTACTCAGAGGTACAGCCGCCAGAAGCAAACACTTCTGTGTTGCTTCGTTTTCTTCCAGGAAAGAGCGGGCAATGCTAGTATTCAGTCTGATTCTTAGCTGCCAGGAGATACTTGACTTGTGACTGGATCTCGCATGCCCGAAATAACTAACTTGCAGAGGGGGGATTAAATCCAGATGAAGCTTTTGTTCGGCCTTCTCAAGGACTCTCACTGATTCTGAAGAATTCTTTCTACGTCAAAGCAAAGAGCACCCGGGATGTCAGCTTCAGGAATTATCCTCTGATTAGCGCTCTTTCGTGGGTGTCCATCTCAACTCCAAAATCACATCTGTTAGTGACATTTTCTGCCTCAGTTCGTCTTCACCCATTAAAGAGATGCTACAGTATTAATCCATTTCAAGGTTTTTGAACAAACAGCCATAAATATTTAAGCCTCCGTTTTGCCTATTAGGGAAAATGCCATCTAAGATAATTATTTGGCCACTGCCTGACACGAAGATTTATATAAACGATAGGATTATTTTAGCCTTTGAGCAAATTCAGAAACTTCGAACCTAGATGGTCTTTCTCTATACTGCAATTATTCCTATGGCCCAATGACGACCTTCGTGAGAAAAATGCCAACAGAAGGGGAAACAACCTAGAGTTATTACTGACTGAAATCCCAAACTAGCGCAGCTTATCTTTCAGTGAAAGTCAACTGGAATCTAAACAGAGCTGTCAGTGCCGGCTTGTTTTCTTGTGTCGCCTCTTCTGAACTGTAAGCACTTTGGGGGCAGGGCTCCTGTCGGATACACTTCTGTGTACCAGTGGCGCCATGCTTGGCACAGTAAGCACGCAGAACGCTCTCTGAACACGCACATCGCTCACGTTTGAGCAGCAGTTTAGTGTAGTGGGCAGTGCAAGGGTCTGGAGACTAAAGCCCGATTGTGGCATTTCTTAGTAATGTGGCCTTAGGCTATTACTCACCCTTCAGGCTCCTCATCTGAAACACGGGCCTGATGTTCCATTCCTTATGGGGCTTGTTCTGAGGATGGAGGGAAAGTATGTAACGTGCCTGGCATATAGTAGATTCTCAATAAATGGTGGGTGCTCCCTTTGTTATTGATTGCACAGTGGATACAAGGAGAGGAATGAAGGCTTGCAAAACTGAGGGTATTTAGGGCCGGAGCATGTTCTCCTCTGTGTATTAAAAGGCCCAAAGTTGGTTTTCCACACATTCTTCTCTGACAGTGTGTTCCTGGCATCCTTTTCTCTGACGACAAGTTCCCAGAATCCCTCTCCCTGACTGCGTGTTCCCAGCATCCCTCTCTCTCATGATGTGTTCCCAGCAAGCCTCTCTGACATGTTCCCAGATCCTTTTCTCTGACATGTTCCCAGCATCCCTCTCTATGATGACATGTTCCCAGAATCCCTCTCCCTGACTGTGTGTTCCCAGCATCCCTCTCTGACAGGTGTTCTCAGGATTCCTCCTTCTGATAGCGTGTTCCCAGGTTCCTAGCACGACATGGCCAGCCCCATATAGATGCCATCTTCTTCTAGCACTTTCTAAATAGCAATCAACTTCTCAGTTCAAAGGGTCTTCCCAGGCCAACCTATCCTTTGCTTCCAAAAAATCACCATGAAGACAGCAATGGCCAGGGTCTTCTAGGAGGGGCTGTAGCAAGAGGCTCACAGTCCAATGTGGCAAATGAGTCGAGTGAACAATGACGACAGCAGGACCAGCTTGCCTTGGGACAGACAATACTCCAAGTTACAGATAACAACCTTATGAGGCAGACATTATCATCCTCATTTTACAGGTGAGGAAAGGGAGGCATGGAATGTTTAAATAACTTGACCTAGCGGTAGAAGCAGTACTCAAACATTATGACTGCAGTTCTAGAAAGTGCTCAGATGAAAAGCCAATCTCAAAATGTTACATACTGTATGATTCCATCATATAACGTTCTCGAAATGACAAAATTAAAAGATGGAAAACAGATCAGTGGTTGCCAAGGGTCAGGGATCGGGGGCAGGGAGGAGGTGGGTGTGGTTCTAAAAGGGCAACAGGAGGGATCCCTGTGGTGATGGAAATGCACTGTATCCTGACTGTGGTGTTGGAGATGTGAACCTACACATGTGAGCAAGTTGCACAGAGCTCAATAAACATACACACAAATGTGGACAAGTGAAGAAAAAAAGCCCAAAGTTGCCAAGATATGCTAGAAGTAGGTTTAGGCAGACTTGGTGGAGGCAGGTGCGGAGGTTATCAAATATAGTTGGATGGAATGCCATCGTGAGTGTGGGAGGCTGAATAATGCCCCTCTCCCCCAAAGAAGTAGACATTCTAATCCCCAGAATCTATGAATGTATGAATTTAATTTTACTTGGTAAAGGGGACTTTGCAGATGTGATTAAGTTAAGGATCTTGAGATGGGGAGATGATCCTGGATTATCTGGGTAGACTGTAAGATGATAAATTTGTAAGAACTATAAGATAATAAATTTGTATTGTTTTAATCCACTAAGTTTGTGGTCATTTGTTATAGCAGCAAAAGGAAACGAATACAATGAGGAACATTGGGGGAAAAAAAGACAGCAAACTTCAATCATTTGGAAAATTTCACCTATGTGGAACGCTGTCATCTCTGGTGTATCAGATGGCTGTGGTGTTCCTGAACACAGGAAGCTATTTCTCTGATTGGCAGAGACCAGGTGGAGATGAAGTTCAAAGCCCCCTTTATTCCTAAAAATGCTGCTATTCCCTGTCACTATGCTTCTAGTGTGTCAGTGGGTGTTACACGGAGCTGGCACGGCTTATCATCACAGCCTGTTTAATACATGGCAGCCAGGAGAAGGCTTCAGAATAAACACCGCCTCAAGAGGTTGTGTTTTTTACTGTATGATCTCTCTAATCTTCATGTTAGAAAAATACGACTATTTAAGCTCAAGTTATGGCTGGAGATACCAATGTGTGAGTTCTTTTGGGGGAAAACCCCACCAGGTTACATATCAGGATAACATCTTTAGCCATGTAATTCAGAAATTAAGTTTCTAAGTAGATGTTCTAATTCTGTGTTTCCACATTGTCTAGGCATATAATAAACAAACTCTTAAAAAAGGAATAAAAATTAGCTTCCCTTTTGAAAGGGTCTACTAGGTGCAACACATTGGTATTAGGCACTTTCGTCCTCACAGCAATTCTATAAGGAGGATATTATTATCTCTAACTTGCCACTGCAGAAACAGGTGTTCAGACAGGTTAAGCAACTTGCCTGAGTTCCCACAGCCTGCCAATAATCGAGTCAGGACTGAAGCTCACATTGGTCTGATTTCTAAGCTCGTGTGTTTTCCACTCTAAACTACTGCCTTTGAGATAAATGCAATATGTTGAATAAATGCCATAAGAGCCATCAACAGTTAACATGAGAGCTTTACAAAGAGCTAAAGTTTGGCCTAACTTTGAATCCACTACTTTGTACCATGCTGGAGCTCAGTTAAGAAGAGTTTGTTTCTGGGCCAGCCTGGTGGCACAGCGGTTAAGTGCATGCGCGCCGCTTTGGCGACCCGGGGTTCGCCGGTTCGGACCCCGGGAACGTACCAACACACCGCTTGTCAAGCCGTGCTGTGGCATCGTCCCATATAAAGTAGAGGAAGATGGGTACGGATGTTAGCCCAGGGCCAATCTTCCTCAGCAAAAAAGAGGAAGATTGGCATCGGACGTTAGCTCAGGACTGATGTTCCTCACCAGAAAAAAAAAAAGAAGAGATTGCTTCATCCACAAGGCTGTGTGTGGAAAGAAAGCTGGCTACCCAGTGACCTAGGGTTATAATCCATCCAATGATTGCCATGTACTAAGCTTCATAAAATAGGAAGAAAATTACTCAGTAAGTGTTATAGCAATGACAAAGTAGTATGGCCACTGCTGTAAATACACAAATCTTGGAACCACTTTGCTTATAACCACACTGAAACATTCTTTCTAGATTAAATACCATGATCAATTCCAATGTGTCATTTAGAGCACTAATCACTCTGATTTTGCTAAAAGCCGTCATTGGAACCACCTTCTGATCCAGTTTTTCCATGCAGAATATTTTTACAAGCAAGAACTCCCTTCTCTGCACAACAGTGTTGCTTAAATTGTTTTGCCCTTGACCATGTAAGAAATACATTTTACCATGCAACAAGCTCACATGTATACATGACAAAAACAAAAGTTCTATGAAACAAGACATAGCCTTACTATGTGCAATGAGCTCTCATGTTTTTTCTATTTTGCTCTACGTAGTCTAGTTTAGTCTATTTTGTGGTCATGACCCCACAAAATGACTTAGTGATTCACTCATGACTCTATACTCCACAAGGGGGTTGTTTTTGCTGTTCGAAAGCGCTGGGCCCTACCTCCGGGGCAATGTAATCTGGAGTCCCACAGAAGGTCCTGGTCGTGACTCCATCCATCATGTGTTCCTTGCACATCCCAAAATCAGCAATCTTGATGTGTCCTTCCGAATCCAGCATGACATTATCTAACTTCAGATCCCTGCAAGGAAGCAGGATAGCATCAGTGTCCTTCCCATGACATACATGGTTTGCTCTGGAGCTAGTGAGATAGAAGGATATTTCATTAGCTACCATCTCAACAGTATGTTAACTTCATGTCTCAGGAGAGCTGGGACCAGGAGTTACTGTGTTTTTGTTTTTTTTTTTTTAATCTCCTAATGTGTTGCCTGGCTTACAGTGGTACTTAATAAATGCATACTAAATGAATGACCAAATGGCTGAACTAGTGATTCCCAACCTTGGCTGAGCATGTGAATCACCAGAGATTCCAATTCAGCAGGTCTTGGGAGATCCTGGTCATTGGGTTTATTAGTATCCCACACAGAGCGGGTCTGACACACAGCCAGGTTTGCAAAATCACAGGTTTAGAACAACCTCTACGGGTCACAACTTGCCCCTCCCATTCTGCCTAGTGCCATATGTCCTTTTAATAAGTCTTCACTTAACACTGGAAGACATTCTTTTTTCTTGGTGGCAGACTTTCACTGTAACTAACAACCCGAAGAATTTAATCCAATAGTTTCTCCCTTGCCTCCCCTCAGTTCTCCATGTTCTGCTGCTGAGCATCTAGAACAGAAATTCAATTTCCACTGCTCCTTGATCTTCATTCCAAATAAAAGGCAGAGGAAGGAGCTGGCAGTGAGGATAAAAGCATGTTTTCTTGTGGAAAGCAGAAATGAGATAAAATCTTTTGAGGTCCAGAAATCAGATGGTGGTCCTGATTTGCCTGGATGCTGCAGAGAAAGGTGGGCCCCAGCAGGTCTCTGTTATCTTGGGGGTTATCAACTCCATATCTTAAGTCTCCATCACATAACTACATGCCCACAGAGGTCCAGAGGTCTAGCCAAACTCTCAACTGCGCTGCTGGTGGCAGAGCTTCGATACGCACCTATAAATGATTCCTCTTTTATGAAGAAAGAACAATCCAATGGAAATCTCTGCCGCATAGAATCTGCAAGAGAAAATGCTCGTCAGCTTTCTGGCTCAGTTCTTTGGACTCCTAGATACTTTGTATCCTGCAGCTCAGACACTGAAGAGGTAAAAGAACTTAAGATCCCAGGACTCGCAGAGATCAGCATTGCCCTACAGGTGTTCTTCCAGCCCGTCACCCTCCCTCCGCCATTTTATCACTCCAACTTCCCCAAGGAATGATACAGCTAATAAAATCAATGAGATGGGTTTATTACCTGCCCAGAAACAAGCACTTCTTGTCTGGGGCAGGTGGACAGGTAATTTACTGCTCACAAGAAATTTCTGATACAGTCATGCGCCACATAACAATGTTTTGGTCAATGATGGACTGCCTATACGATGGTGGTCCCATAAGATTAGTACTATACAGCCTAGGTGCGTAGTAGGCTATACCACCTAGGTTTGTGTAAGTACACTCTGTGATGTTCGCACAACAACAAAATTGCCTCATTTCACATCTCTCAGAACGCATCCCTGTTGTTAAGTGACGCATGATGGTACAATCTTGCAAAGAGTGGCTGTTAGACTCTTTCATGTCAGAACTAGGGTAGAGTGGAGAAAATTTCCATTTCCTATTCATGGACAGAATACATTAGTATTTGAAAATACTATTATTCCCTAGAAGACAAAGAATAACGTGTGATGAACTTTTTAGCTGGTTTACTCATCACCTCCCCCCAAGTGCTGAGATAAATGGGACACACGCCATGACTCATACCTGAGTTTTCCCTTTTAAACGATTCATAATAAAAAGCAGTTACTGCCATCACTTCAAAATCATTAACCGGTTAATATGTGAAACTTAGGCTAAATGTTGAAGGATGTTTTAAAATTTGCATAGCATTTAGGAATCTCTGAAGTGTGAGAAGCCACAAGACTGGGCCTGAGCAACATCACACTCAGGAGGCTTAACATAAGCACACGTGTCTACATGAGCGGAGAAGAGTCCCTTAACGATAAGGACCGCACTCTTAATGGGGCGGGGGGGTTTCCTCTGAGGGCCGGCAGGAGAGGAACTGGATGGGGGAGGGAGAAGAGATGGTATCATGGGCGACTTTTACATTATTTTCCATGCTTTTCTGTACTTTTAAAATAAAAGCTTTCCGGCAACACAAATACAACAAAAGCAATACAAATATTTCATAGCATAAGGCGGTCATTTTGCCATTTGCTCCTTATAGTTCTGTGTTACCAAGCTTTATTTACAATCAGAGCATTTTAATGCTTTATAATTAACATAAGAGAGGGGATAAGGGCAGGCAGTGCTGAAAATTGAAAAGTAAAAATAAAAACAGAAAAATCTCCCTTTGAATTTTTTAAGCTTACTACCAAAGAATTCCTTATTCTGCCTTCAATTAATCTTCCCTAGGACAGATCATCCCACGCAGGCCAAAAGTACTTCAGATTTATCTTTTAGACTGAACATCGGCCAGAATCTGTTTAACATTTGCTAACTTGATTATTCAGGCACATGCCCGCTACACATCCTCACTGAGGGAAATGAAATAGTTGTTTGTTTAGATTTGCTTCTGTTGAGTTTCCTGTGACTTCCTGGCCCCTGAAAAATGGGATGACTTTTCAGGTATCAAAGACTGCCTTCTAGATGGATGATTCTCCATCTTCCCATGGAACCCAAGACTCTCTCCTGTGCTGCCGACTCCTGCGTCCCTGCATCCTGGCATCCAAGCACATCCCAATGAAATCTTCCAAACTGAGCTCACAATTCTCCCCCCAAACCACCTCCTTCTGGGTGGCTGTCCCTTCCCAAACATAAAATGGGGTGTCACCTGAAGAGGTTTCTCTCTTCTCACACCCAGCGTCTCCAAGTTCTGGTTTTCTTCCTCCAGAATGTTTCTCAAAGCCACTTACTCCTCTCTGGCTCCAAGGCCAAGCCCTAATTAGAGCTCCATTCTTTCTGTTCCACACAGATTTGCAGCAACCCCCTTGTACCAGCCCTTACACTCCCTCCCTTCTTCCTTCTCCTTTTGGCCAGGGGGTTGTGAAAACTTAACCTGATGGTGTCAAGCCCCATTGAAGCCTCTTCCAGCCTTCCCTTTCCTCAGCCAGGCCCTCCACCAGGCTTGTCACCTAGAGCCCCCTCCCCCCACCTCCCACTATGAATCTCACACCATCTCCTGCACCTCTGGGTTGGGCATTCATTCCCCCAGGACGTTCTTCCCTCACTGACCCCCTTTTGGGGCTTTGCATGGTGTCCTGTGCCACCTCTAAAGTTATGGTAACACATTACAATTGTCGAGTGACTTCTCCCACTCCACTCCCGAGGGCAGGGAGCCACTCGTTCCTTTCACACTCCCAGCGTCTGGTGCATTTCGGGTGTGCAATGCCCACCTGTTCAATAAATGAGTGGATGACTCGATCAGTGAGTGTGGAATTGGGTGACAAGGGGATACATCAGCATCGCCAATTTACTAGAAGTAGAATAAACTTCTCCTTAGGAAATGCTGAGATGGACCCTGTCAATAAACCTGGCCCCCTAGGAGGTTACAGTACTCCAACCTGAACTGGGCAGAGCCCCACTTTCATATTTCATCCAGCACAAGTTCCCAGTTGGGAATACTGTGTTGTCTAAATTAAGACACACACACACACACACACACACACACACAAATACTCACACTGCTTGTGGTTCCTTAAATTTTCCTACTTGCTGAATGTGGTACATGAGGTCTCCGCCATTGACATATTCCATGACGAAGTACAGTCGATCCTGAAGACCAAGGTCAGAACGTGAGCAGGGCTCCTCCACGGGTAGAGTGGCTTCCCTCACTCTTTACAGACTGCGTTTTGCTTTCTCATCAGTTAAATGTGGGCTGCACTGGCACATCTGCCTAGTGGAGCCCTTCAAAATTTTTTTCCCAAATAAAGAAGTAGTAATAACCCTATTGCATGAGGGCCTTGGGAAGTATCAAATTATTACATAAGTCTAAAATTATGGCTCTCTGTCAATGTGTCTGCCTCCTTCTGGAGGCCATTATAGCAATAGCCCCAAACGTTCTTCCCTTTTATCCTACACACATGATACATTTCTAAGTTAGAGATGGTGTGAAGAATCCACATGGGCCAATTCTTTAGTTTTAACTAGTATTTTTGGTATGCAATGTCCAGGAGGCACGCCACAGTGATGTGGTAATGTGTTTAACTGGATTTTTTTTTTTTTAACTTTTTTTTTTTTTTCCTCCCCCAAAGCCCCAGTAGATAGTTGTATGTCATAGCTGCACATCCTTCTAGTTGCTGTATGTGGGACGCGGCCTCAGCATGGCTGGAGAAGCGGTGTGTTGGTGCGCGCCCGGGATCCGAACCCAGGC